AAGCTACCCTACAAAGCATTGCTAATAGTCTTATTTTAGCACTTGTTACAGTGTAACAGTCTCAACTGAGAGCAGAGCAGGAAAAGGAAGAAGCCCAAAGTTTGTACTAACACCACAATGCCCAGCCCTAGAAGGGGCTGTTTAGTAAATCAACACTTACTGTATACATTATTACTTTTCAAAGTAAGTAAAAACTGAGTTTAAAGTTAGAACAGTTGCACCTAAGTCTGTAAAGGATGTGGCAGATAGACTTAGGGTGACCCAGGCTGACCCTGCCTCCTGATATTTGCACCTTTCTGTCTCAAGTGTGAAGAGGACCCTGACTTGCTTCTACCCCATGAGCTGTATGAGATCACATGTACATATTTACAGAAGAGTGCGACAGCAGCCCATCCTGCTAGGCTCCCTCCTTTGCTGGCTTTGAAGAAGCAATCCGTCCTGAGCTTAACCATGAATGAATTTCACCAAAAAAATGAGGGAGGGAGGGAGCTTGGAAGTGGACCCCATCCCCACTGAGTCCCTAGGTAACAGCCCAGTTACCCAAGTTAATCTGCTCCCAGGCTCCTGATCCATAGAAAAGGGGAGATAATAAATACATGCTGTTTTAGGAACATAAATTTGTAGCTATTTGTTAATAAGCAGCATACAAACTAACAATCAGAATCTAAAGTTTATTTCTGAATGTTTTATTCACACAAAGGGTATGTTTTCCCCAATTTCTAAACAGTTAAATTAGTATAAAACCAACTTAATTCATTAGTTAATACCAGTCAAGTACATGCAAAATTAAAACATTCAGGAAGTACTTTGCTACACAGAGTAGTTCTGTACTTCTCTTTTAACCCACTTGCTAAATACTCAACTGTCCATATACCCAGTATACGAAGTAAGCATAGCAGTAAGACAGTTTTCCGTGTAGACGCAAGGTAAGCTGGTAACTAATTAATGGTATCGGTAACCAGAAAATTAATTAGAACCTACTAACTGGTTACCAGGCAAAACAATCAAATCGGAGGGGCTGGAGGCCTTGCTCGTGACACTCTCTGTTGGTAAAACAGCAGAGTTCTTACCACTTAGCAGCCAGCAAAGCATCCAGAGCACTGAGGTCAGGCAGCTCTCAGATCAGATGACGCCCGGTGCGACACTAGCCACTCCGGCCCACCCTCCACCTGGCAGTGCAGAGACCTTCAAAGTATTCCTGAAGCAGACGCTTCCATGAGAGTCCCCACTTGAGCATAAAAGGCATAAAACACAAGGTATCTCCTACAGTGCTTTAGGTACATGGGATTGTAAGTGAGAACCACTCCCAGAGCTCTTGTTTTTTGGGGGGTGACAGGAGTTGCTGTTAGAAGTGTCATTTTCTTCTGTCACTTTTCTGTGAAGACCCCAGAAAAGTCTTCGACTGAATACCAGGACATTCAGGAATAGAAGTAGATTAATCACAATAAACCTACATCTGTCCTGAAAATTAAGAGAAGTCAATCTGCCTAGAAACAGATTTTAACATACTCAGTTTTATGAGATATCCCACACTCCTTCAATACAAGGAAGCATGTTTCTTAAGTAACAGGAGGCCCCCGAGTGCCTTACAACCAGCCTCGGGGGCATACCACACCCAGACAGAGTCCGGCCCTCAGGAGGGGTCAGAAGCTGCCCAGCACCACCAGTTAACTGTCCGATTAATTCACTCTACATTTTCACCCCCAGACTCATGGGCATTTCCTAAGTCCACACAGTTTCTCTAAATGTACTCTCCATTCACTGGTATACTTTTATAGTCCAATTTACCTCCCCCTTCCTTGCAGGATCATTAAAGAAGGGATAATTACCACTCCTAATAATTACTCTTATGAACATTAACAACTTGACAGTGCAAAAAACATACACAAAATAAAGCCCAGAAAGTCCTCTGTGAGACACCACTATGCTTGTAAATATTAGACTGTACCCTTAAGACCTGTTTTAAAACAAAAGTGACAGACAAAAGGCGGCTTTGGTTCACTTTAATAGTATCACGCTCAGCAGCCTGAAAATAACAAACACAAGAATATCCCACCTCACCTAAAAACTCCTGCATATATTATAGTTATTATATTCTGTTACCCAACAACTCAGTTCTAGGAAATTTCTGTAAATTGAAACGTGCAGAGTAAGCACCTCTCTACTGGTTCCCTCTAGAGAGAATTAAGTGAGGGTGTACACCACCAAACTACGTGTCCAAGTGGGAGCAGAACCCACCAACACAGAAACCTTGTTCAATCTGGTAATTCATTATGACGGAAGAGTAACAGTTCACCTTGCTAGGTGCCTAAATTTAAAAAAAAAAGTAATACTGGGTTTTCCTTTCCTGTAAATTACATGACAGCCCATAAGAGAATGGTAATTTTGAATCTTATTAGTATCATATTTTCTTATTAGGAGATACGCTTAATACAAACTTATCAATTAAAATAACTTTTACAAAATTACAGTAAATTTCCACTAATTCAGAAATACTCCTTTTCTCATTCAGATGAGATTTGTACAATTTATAACCGAATAAACACGTTAATACTATAACATATACTAAAAATTAAGTCAATGTGAAGTATAGTCACGTCTAATTTCTAAAATAAGACCCCTCATCTGGATCCCTAAATCTCAGGATGATAAGAAGCATACTATTAAGTTTCCCTGCTAAACCCAACCACTGAAATAGAGGCAAAAATTTCATGAAAGCACATGTCACTAGAAAGGTGTGTTTTCACACGTGTATTCTATCTTCCTGTCTCAGCTATGATTTAAGGTAGAAGCACTTTGATACATTCCCATTATCTCAGGGGAACAGGTAAGTTCTCTGATCCTCTTCCAGCCTTTCTCAACTGGGGCTCCTCAACTGAACCACTGAACACAGGTTATTCAAATTTTCCCAGAATCCTTCTAACCTTTAGAAGGCATATTGCATACAATACATGCCTGAAGAGGTCAGGGCTCAGTTCTCTGCAGAGCTTTGCTTAAGACAGACCACCCCACGCTCCTCAGCATCGCTGTTCTGCTGCTAGGCCCCTGTTACCCTCATCCCAAAAGGACAGAAGAACCAAGTGCACAAAGCTAGGGACTTGGGTAAGAGAAGAAATAAATGCTTTACTTCTAACTTTCAGCAACTAGGCCTTGTTCATTTCCTAATTTACTATGACTTAATAATAGCATAGGTATCAACTATATTTGTCCTCTGTTCTGAATGGAATTGTTTTAAGGAAATAAACCCATACAGATATACTGACTCTTTGTTAAAGGATATCAACCCTTAAAAAAAAAAAAAAAAGAATAAAGACAGTAATCAGTATTCTAAAAATATAAGAACTATTAATTTGACAAGCCGTTTTCTATTTCCCTTTCTTTAGCAGGCTTTTAAACATACTACCTTTTGAGGACCATAACTGCTAAATGCAAATTTTCATTTCAAAAAGATAAGTGTTTTTAAATACTAGCTTATCTTTTATTATTGCACTAATCGCCCATTCTCAAGAAATTGTCTTTTGTTATTTATTGATGTGGTGACTACAGCACCTGTCCCTGTGTTAATTATAATCAAATCACAGAAAGGTAAACCTCGTTCTTTTTCTCAAAAACCAAAGTTTTTTTTAATGGCCCAATTTTAAAAAACATTAATATTTGTATTTGCATAGCAAAATGACCATAAAAAGTAATTAAAATAAGACAAATAGTTGTTCTATAGTGAGTGTGCAAGGCAGTATTAAAAAGATGGAAAAAACTAAACATGACATTCCCATTTTTAATTTATGCTGACATGAAGGCTGATAGTACAGAACATCAACATAGATAAATTACATTATTGAACATCCCACCTGACCAACTTCCTACTCAAATTTCTCCTGTTTATAAACACTGAGAAAAAGGGTCAGTAAAAGGAGGGGATGGTGTGTGCTTTTATTTGTGCTCAACTGTGAATGTGTGTTACACCAAGGCACACAATGCAATGAAATGGAAATATTTATCTTCTACAGTCAGCCTCTCTAAGCACATTTAACTTCTATACCAGCCCCCCCCCCCATGAACTTGGAGGAGTGTGTTGATTCCATTCACTATAACTGTTTTGAGGGTATAAAAGATCACTATAAAGCATAACTGAAGAGGTCAAATTCCTGTTCCTCAAATCAAGTGCACTCTTCCTCCTGTTTCTACGTAAAAATACATCATTTTGCTACTAAAAATTTCCATTCCTCACAATGACTTTTCCTGAACTCAAGTCAACACTGCTTTCCAAAAGCACCTCCTAGGTTTTCTACTGCACCTTGTAGGAAGAGTTGTGATAATTAGTAGTTCCTCTCCTTAAACTGTTTTCAATTTTTTAAACGCTGTCCAAATTAAGGAGGACTAACATAAACCATTATCTACGGCAGCAGTTTACTGGGGTTAAAAATACACTTTCCATGAATGCATTCATCCAATTAAATGTGCGTAGTACGTAGGACTATTTTGCACAGACTAAAGAATTAGTCATGTATTAACATCAGTCCAAAGGAGATCACTTCCTCCGTTTTCAAATACTCATTGTTTGTTTGAGACCCTCTGACTTTTGGCCTTTAAAAAGTGCTCACCACTCACTCGAGTCCCAAGATAGAGCTACATTTAGCAACAGCTCTTCTGACTTCCTGATACTAAAAGCCACAAGCACCAAGGCTGCCGCGTCGGTTTGTTTTAAAATAATATTTGCTCTTTTCACTTCGCGGGGAAAACAAGGGCTTTCTGTCCTGGGGAACCGCTCAGAGGTAAGAGTGCACACGTTTAAAAAAAAACAAACACTAGGGTCTAGCCTTAGCGGCGTCCCTGGGGTTAAGTGGTGATTTTCCTCCCGGGAGGGGTGACTGAGCCGGGCAGCGCGGCCAAGCCTCGGCGCTCAGGCTGAAGGAGAAAAGGAGAAGGGTAAAAATAAATGCAGCCGCGGCCCACGTGCCGCCCGTGAGAGCCAGGGAACCAGGGAGGGAGGGGGACCATACCTCCAAACAAGTGCGGCGAGAGGTGAGCTGGTAACGAGCCGATCACGAGGCGCGGCCCGCCCGGGCCCCCGCCGGCCGGCCGGTCCCTGCCGCCGCCGCCGCCGCCACCGCTGCCGTCCTCCGGGCTGCTGTGCACCGAGTCCTGAGAGCCATACTGACCGCTGCTGCTGTTGGGGATGCTGAAAGAGGACTGCGCGGCCCGGGCCCCCGACGCCACGGTCCCCACGGCCCCGCCAAGCGACCGGCTGCGGGGTGCCGCCGAGGCCGCCGCGGCTCCGCCCGAGGAGCTAGGCTGGTGCGCCCCGGGCACCTGAGCAGGAAACCTCCCGGCGGCCGCGGCCCGCGCCCCACCGCCGCCGCCGCCCGCGGTCCCATTGGCCCCTCCGCTGCTGCTGGAAGGTAAATCCGAGCCTGAGTACGCGCGGGTGCGGCCGTTAGCAGCGGCCGGGCCGCTCTGCTTGGCGCCCATGTCCGCCCTGCCCGGGGCCGGGCCCACGCGCAGCGCCCGGAGCTCCGGGAGGGCGGGAGAGAGCGCGAGAGCGAGAGGGCAGGGCCGAGGCGCCGCGGCCGGCCCAGAGGGTAGCCCGCACGTCCAGGGCCGCCGCCCGGCGCCCCGAGGGGCGGTCAACACCGGGCGCGCTCTTCGTCTGGGGGGCGGGGGACGCGGGAGACGTGGAGAAACGGGTAGGAAGGAGGTCCGAGCTCCGGCGGGCGCCCCTCACTGGCTCCGGCGGGAGGGGTGGCTCAGGTGGCTGTGCGGCTGCCGCTGCTTTCGGTTCTGCTGCGCCGCGACGGGCTGCTGCCGCTCTCTGCCGCCACCGCCGCGTTCTGCGCCCCGGGCCTCGGCACCGCCTCCTCCCGGGCGGCCGCTGCTACCGCCGCCATCCTCCTGCTCCCACGGCGGCTCGCGGGTGAGTGGGAGGTGCCCGCCCAGACTCCGCCGGGGCCACCTTCCCTCCTCCCCCAGCCACCCAGCTGTTATTAACGGAGAAAAAGGGAAAACGAGTGGCACGTGAGCGAAGGACTGTGGAGGGGAGGGAAGAGGTGCGCGCGCTTCCCGGCAACTGCCGCCGCTCTGCCCCCGCGAAGGAGGGGCCGGGGGCGGTCTGGCCCCTGAGGGTGGGGGTGTCCAGGAGAAGACGAGATTGCCCGGCCGGGCACCGGAAGGCCGAGGCGCAGCGTTGCTCCAGACGTAGCCGGAGCCCTAGTGCTTGGGTCGCCCGCGGCGACCCCGCCCCCGTCCTCTCGTGCCGCCCAGTGGATTGGTTCCTGCCGGCCTAGCCCCGCCTCTGCCATCCGTGGCTTTCCGC